CCCGGCGGGGCGGCTCCTTGGGGCCCTCCCAGCGGGCTACTGTGTGCCAATGGCCGGGCGCAGGAAAGAACCGGGACGCTTGCCTTCTGACTTGGAGGGCCCCCAGGGCTAGTGCTGTGGATGCTCACCTGCATCCTTTCACCCCAGGACTTATTCTTCCTGAGGGCCCACTGTGTGCTGAAGCCCGGGTGACATCCAGAGTACAGGGGAGATTCAGGCCCTGGGCACCAGGGCCAGGCCAGGGCTTTCCCCACTTACTCATTTCCCCTGAGGTTTTCTGAGGACCTACTGTGTGCCAGGGCCAGTGCAGGTGATGTTAGAACGGAAGCAAAAAGTCCAACAGTCCCTGGTTCCTTGGCTGAGCTGAGCTGAGCTGAGTGGCCTCCCCGGGCTGGACTCTCCTCCTCCAGATATACACCCGCAGATCCCTGGTGCTTAACTTATTTTCAAATAAATCATGTTTTTCAAACTTTTAGGGGTGGAACAAGGGAACCTGAATATGGATTGTACAGGGATAAGAAGAGATTCATTCTGTTGGGATGACGTTGCGGTTGTTTAGGAGATGATTTTGGTTAGACACGCAAGCAAAGGTATTTACCACCGAAGCGAGGTCAGATCTTATAATTTATTTCAAAATAAATTTGGAAACAGACATTTCCATGACCTATTTTAAAATCATTTATCTGTTATAAAGCCTAGTAAACTCTTGTTTTTCTTGGTAATGTTTTAAATTTCAAAGATGTTGGATTAGGGAATGCACCACACTTTACACTTTTCAGTATAATTGGAAAATCTCGTTTTTTTAAACGTGGGATTTTTGTGTAGACCTGTTGTCCTAGACACAGGGCAGTTCGTCAGTTGACGTTGTGCCCAGACTGTGGGCACCTCGGGGTGCCCCATGTGTAGGGTGTCAGAGAATGAACGGGATCCCCAGGGGCCGCCCCTGGGGGGCACATTCAGGCAAATGAGCGAATATTCACATGAACCCTCGCTTACCCGGACTTACGGGGAAATAGGGCAGAGGCGGCCAGGGGACCACAGACATGGTGCCTGGGGGGGCCCTGGGAGGACTCTGGGGGGACTCGGTGCCTCTGAGGGGGACTTAGCACCTGGTGGGAGCTCGGTGCCCGGGGGAGGGGTGGCTGGTTATTTTTAGACTGCACAAGTTGCGCAGCACGGGGCTGTGACCGGTGAGATGATGTTGGGGTCCTGCTGTGATTATGGCTCCGAGGGAGGCCGCGGCGGACCTGCGCCCAGTGGGCCACCGGTGCTGCGGCAGCGGGGCGCCCCGAAGGCGGCGGCTTCTGGAAGGGGGGGGGTCCTTCGGTGTGTGGTGCCGCTGAGCCTGGAGGGCCGACCCCCCCGCCCCCCGCGCCTCCAGGGCTTCCCGACTCCGCCGCCGCGCTGTCTTCACCCTCCAGCCCGCGGGAGGTGCCGGCGCGGCCAGTCGCTCCGCCTCGGGGCCGCAGCCCGTGCGTCCCGTCCCGCTCCCGGCGGCTCCGCCGCAGTCTCGGTTCCGGACCTGCAGGGCAGAAAAGGGAAACCCGAGCCGGTGCCCTTCGTCCCGGGAGCAGCAGCTTCGTGGGGAGCTGGCGGAGCGGGGGCGCGCGCAGGGAGGCGGGGCCCTGGCCGGGGCGGGGCGGCGCGGCGAGGGGAGCGGGGAGCGGGCCCAGGCCCGGCAGGGCGGCGCCGGGTAGCGGCGGCCACGCGGGCGAGGGTCAGATCGCGCAGGGCCCCGGGCGCTGCGGGCGCGGGCCGGTGTGGGCCCCCCCGTACTGGGGGCCCCGCGCCCTCCTGCTGCACCCCTCTCCTCCCGGGGGAAGCAGCGGGCGTCGGGGAGAGGACTGACGGACGGGCGGGCGGGCGGGGGAGGGGAGGAAGGGGCTGGCTTGGGGGTCGCCCCGCCTCTGCACCCCGAGGGAACAGACGCGCACTCGCGCAGCCGCGCCCTCCCCGTCCGGGTCCCGCGCCGCGGGATAGGGACGGCCTCCGCGTGGCGCGGCGAGTTCGGGCCGCTTCTCCTCGGCCCGGAGACCCCAGTCCCGGCGCGTGGCCGGGGGGTGGGGGGCGACGCATCCAGGAGGCGCCCTTGCCCGGGAACTACAACATCCAAGAAGGCGCCGCGCCCGCCGAGACTACCACTCCCAGAAGCCCGAGGCGGGCCGGGAGCGGGGCGTGTCCGCGGGGGCGGGGCCTGGGGCGGGGCCCGCGCGAGGACCAGAGAGGCGGAGGCGCAGACCCCGAGTCACACAGCGGCCCTCGGCGCCCTCCGCCCGACAGACGCGGCCCTCGCGCGCCCCAGCTGCGCGTCCAGCCCTCGCCGGTCACCTCGCGGGCTTGGCCGATTCCCCACCGCTGGGACGAGCGATTTCCCCGCAAACGTCGGGGGCTCCCCAGTTCGAGCACGGGTGACGATGACAGACCCGCCCGCGCCCCGACGCCTGCAGCCCCGCACGCTTGGCTCGCCGCCAGCGGGACCCCGAGGGGGCAGAATAGGGGGGCGCCGGGGGTCTCCGGGGGAAGAAGCGCCCAGGGGTGCCCGGGAACCGTCTCGATGCGCAGCGAGCTCTCGCCCCGCCGCCCCCTCCTTCCCGCGCCCGCCGCGGGGTCTGTCCTGGGGACGGGGCGGCGCCTTCAGGGACTGGCCCACGCGGGGAGCGCGGCGTCTGTGCCGAGAAGCTTCTTCCCCGGCGAGCCCCAGGGTCCCCGCGGGCCTCCACTGACGGGACGAGGCCACCGGCGGGCCGGGGTCGCCCTCGAGACGGACTGACGGACACGAGCGCAGCCGCCGCCGCCGCCCAGACCGAGTCCACTAGTGGGACCGGAGCCTGAGCAAGTGCGCGGGACCCCCCAGGCTCAGGAGGCCGGGCAGGAGGGGCGAGGGGTGCAGGGAAGGTCCGCGGGCGCGCGCGGGCTCTCGGCACAGTCACCAGGTCATGTTGGGGCGCGGAGGCGCCAGAGGCGGGCGGGTCAGGCTCCTCGGCCGGGCGGGCGCTGCTTCGGGGACGAAGGTGCAGCCGTGCCCTCAGCTCAGTTTTCCGGGGCCAATAGTGGGGGCTGGGAGGCTCGTGGCCCCCGAGCCCGGAAATCAGGGGAGCCCCTCCCCGGAGCCCCCCTTGCGCGGGTCCTGGACGCCGAGGGCCGCGCTGGGCAGGACGCTCTCCCCGGACGCGGCTCCGTGGGCGCGAAAGGGCCGCGACCCCCCCCTCCCCGAGACCGGGGCCACAGGTGCAGGTGACCCCTTGGACTCACTTCCTGCCCTGGGGGGGAGCCTGAACCCCGCCTCTGTGGGGCCCCCACACGGAAGGAACCGGCGCGGATGTGCGGCTGGAGCAGGAGACGCGAGAGAGGCTGCCGGGAGGGGCCTCCCCAACCGCCCTCCGCGTCCCCCTTCTCCCCATCCTCTCCGCTCACCGGTGGCTCCCCAAGGCCGACAGGGCCCCCAGCGCGCCCCTCTCCCCTCTCGGGCAGCGCGCGGGTCCCGCACCCGGAGACTCAGGAGGCGGCGGGGGCCCGCGGCGGGAGCGGAGGCGCTTCCCGGCCGCGCTCACCGCGTCCGGCGAGGAGAGCGGAGCGGGCGGGGATGCTGCGTCCTTCTCGGGGCCGTGGACTCTCTGGCCGGGCCGCGGTGGGGCTGGCGAGGCGGGGACGGGGCCACGCGCAGGGAACTCGGGCCGGCGGGGAAGGGCTGGACGCGGGGGCTCCGGGGCTTATGTTGGGCCGGGAGGAGCGCACGGGCGGGCCCGTCCCTGAGCGTGAACCGCGCGGCCGCGGGCTCGCTCCGGCTCCTCGGGACCCAGAGGGCGCCCCCGGGGCGGGCTCCCCTCTGTCTCGCGGGCCGTTTTCACTCCCGCAGGGTTAAGGGGGCGTTTGGGGCACACGTTGTAAGCTTTCGGGGCTGAGCCCCCTCCAGCCCCAGGCCCAGCAGCGGGAGGGCAGGGCGGGTGCCCGGGTGTGGCTGGGGGGGGGGGGGGGGTGTGTGTGTATCATTAACATGTGATTTTAACTTTGTGTGATGTTTAATATTTAAATTAATCATGTTGTTTCTGTGTCGGATGTCACTCAGCAGTGTGAAGGCAAGACGAGTCCACATTTTGGATGCGGCTGGACTGTTGACACTCCCTGCGGTGTCCCAGCGCGCTCCCTGCAGGTGTTCACCTTGTGTTCTCCTCCCGCGTGAGGGGTAAGGAAAGGGTGTGTCATTAACATGTTTCTTCTGTGGTGGGATCACAGCACTGCCAGGATTCTCCACTTTCAACATTTAACACTAACATAAGGACTTTCCACGCCATTAAAGACTTCAGTGTTACTGTATCTAGCTTTTACATTTAATTTTGTGTATATTGGGGGTTTTATTTGGATAGTTTTGAATCATTTTACTGTAAATAAAGTGTTATTGAACATTGTTACACATACAGATTTATCGGAATTTGAAAGCATTTCCTTAGGTCATTTCCAAAATTAAAATTACTATTTCCATTGAAAATGTATTTTAGGGCCTCCCCAGTGGCGCAGTGGGTTGGGCGCAGCCTGTGGAGCTGTCCGCAGCCTCCGCAGCGCCGGGTCAATCCCGCCGGCCTTGGAGCAGCCCACATGACGCGCAGACCCCTCCTGTCTCCCGGCTGCGCCCCTCAGCAGTGTGTTTCAGTCAGTTTGTCTGTTCTGCCCCCAACTCTGTCTCTGGTGAAACCTCTCTAACACAACGCCCATGTCTGGCTTACAACCCAGTTCTTGAGTGCATAAATAATCTTTTAAGATTTACTTATTTATGCACACAAGAACTGGGGTACAGGCCAGAGATGTGGGGGGTGAGAGGATTCATCAGAGACAGAGTGGGGAACAGAACAGGCAGACTGACTGACTGAAATGCACTCTGAGGGGAGCAGCGGGCATGACACGAGAGGTCTGCTGTGCCATATGTGGAACCTTCTCTGGCCAGCCGGATCGAACTGGTGCTGCAGAGGCTGTAGACAGCTTCACAGCGCTGTGCTCAACTGCCTACACCACCAGGGGAGGCCCTGTTTTATATACAATTCTTAACACATCTCGCTTTATTTGCATTTAGAGTTAGGACCTTCTACCTTTTGATTTTTAGATTGTGAGAGGTTATGGAAAAATTTCATCTTTATTTATCCCGCAGGCCCAGAGGTGATCTTTTTCCAAAGTCTGAGCCCTGAGCCATTGGGCGACAGAGTACCCATGGCCCCAGCAGGGGCACATTTGCAACTTGAAGCAAGCAGGGAGTAGAGAAGCAGGAGACTTCTAAGAGCTCACCTGGTCATCTGGGGGGCACAAGTCAGGCTCCTGGCCAGTCACTCCCTGAAACTTTTAGTCCACCCCCAGGCCTTGTCCCAACATAACTCCAGCTAATGAGCAGGTCACAGTGGGCTGGGGCAGGCGGGCTGGGGCAGAGGGCACAGGCAGGTCTGTTGCAAGCTCCAGGACTTCCAGCCTTTCACCGACAGTGTCTGCCGCAGCCAGACCCTAAAATATCCGCAAGTCATTAAAACAGCAAACAAGGTTGCTTGAATTTCTGGGAAAGATTTTTTTAACCGTTGTTAAAAATCCCCTTACCTGAAGCTGACATAAAAGCAAGGCGTGGGGCCTCTCTGATGGCGCAGGTATTAAACACAGCACTGCGAAGCCATCTGCAGCCTCTGCTGCACGAGTTCCATCTGATGGAGGGCAAGAATGGAAAGACTGGAAAGGGAGGCCTCACGTGACGAAAACCTGACTCACGCGAGGAGGTGGGGGTCGAGGGGAATAACAGGACCATTAACCCAGCTGTGGAGGTCGGACCCTTAGGTGCCAGTGCCTTGTCACAGGGCAGGAGACCCGAGCAGGATCCGATGCTCTAGGGAGTGGCGCACAGGCCTGAGGGGAAGGATATGGAGATTGGGCCCACCCTGGAATCTCTGGTCCCTTTCTAGTGTTGCCTGTTACCGACATCAGCAACAAGCAGCCACTCCACGGAGGAGTGACCCTCCCAAAGAGAAAGGGCTGTATCAGGGCAGTCCCTCTCTGCACGGGCTCGGGGCAGCCATCCCTCTCCCACCCGTGACTATGCAGGTGCCTCTTTTCACAACTCTCTCCCTCCGCAGGGCAGCAGCCTCCTGCCTGCAGCTAAGGGACACTTCTCCGAAGAAGAAATCAAATGGCCAACAGGCATAGAAAAAATGTTCAGCATCGCTAATATTCAAGGGAAATGCAAATCAAAACCACAATGAGGGACCACCTCACTCCA